TTTTTTTTTTTTTTAGATGAGACTCTTTTGATTTCTCTTTCAGTTGGTTTTTCTTATGGTGTTTTGGGCCAAGGTTTACAAAGAAAAATTTTTCTTTAACCATTCATGCTTTTCATTCATAACCATTCATATTTTGTGCAATGACAATTATTTAATACATAGTACGTATTAAATCATTTAAGTCTATACACCATAATTTCTCTTTTCCCAAACCCTCTCTATCCTTACGATGTCATCCTTCTGGACTTCTCTGTGTCTCCTCTTTCTTTAGTGATTTTGTGATATTGATATAATGATCTTATCCATCAAACAGGCATGGAACATTATTACTCTGTACCTTTTTAGAATAACCAACCACATGAGATAAAAAAGCAGCAACAGCCCAGGGGTAAAGCTTGGAAGGTGGGAAGATGAATGGAAACAGGAAACACAAGGAGGGTGTGGGACGTATGCTGTTGCATTGTATGATAAACATGGAAAACCATTGTGTTCTCTGGAAACTTTCACTCACAATAAGGTTTTTAAATACTTCTTTTAAAAAATCCCACTAAGATATTTTAAAGAGAGAGAAATGAGACTTGCATGTGCACCTTGGAAAGCGGATGGGTGAGCGAGTCCAGATTGCAGTGGGAGGAGTATTCCAAGCAGGGGAATTGGGGTGGGGTGGAATGAGAGAGGAACAGAGAGGTAAAGGGAAAGGCGTAACCTGTTTGGAGACTTGAGACAGATGTTCTCATGAGGAATAAGAGAAAAACAAAGCTGGGGTGTAAGTGAGAATTATGTCCTGATGCATTTGGATGCCAGGCTGCTTCTACAGGCAGTAAAGACCCGTGAAAGGATTTTGTGTAGCTGAGAGACATAGTGAAAGAAGACCTTAAGATCCAGTTCCCCAGAAGAAAGTTCTTGAGAATGCCTGTTCCATGATATGTACCGTGAAAGGATTCTCTGGCCAGCCATGTGTCGGAGGTGCTGTGCATCTTATCTCTTACCTTGAACAGTTCTTAGGTGCATTTACCTACCAGAAAACAACTAAGTCCTGCATGGGGGGGGTGGGGGGACTCCCCATTTAATTCTTGTAATCACCCCTCTCTAGATAGGGATTTGAGACAAATGTTCTGTTCCTCACAACATTCTAGGGAACATAGCTAGAGAATTTCTGATTTAGAAAATTCGTGAATGATGGATATTTTTGAGAGCTCAGGGTTTCCTTCCTGGGCTACCTGCATGTTTGGTTTGTCAATGGCTTCTGTCCTTTAAAAAAGAAGAGTCCTGGCACTTGGTCCACAGGGCACAATGAATCAGGAGGAATCAGAACACAGTGTAAATACCACTCCCTATGCCTGGGATAGAGAGAGCCCGTGGCCTACCGGGTAAGGAGTTGCACCGCCAATCCAAAGGTACACTGTTCAAATCCACCAGCTGCTCCTTGGGAGGCAGATAGGCAGGCTCCTCCTGTGCCATTTACAGCCTCTGAAAACTCCCTTGAAGGTCAGGTAGGAGTGAGTTCTAATTTGATGGTCCCTAACAGTCCCTGGAGGAGATCCAGTCTCTACCCAGAATCCCTCACGAGCCACAAGTGCATAGCAAGGTGAACAGATTGTGGTTTCAACATTTATGTGTCTTGGTGACATCAGAAATTCTTCTGGACCATAGAAAATAAACCCTTTTACGAGCCTCAGTAAAAAACTTAAAGGATTGAACATACGTTTATGACCCTATAAAAGAAACTTAGCTAATTTGTGTGCTGTTTTTATTCCCTCTTTCACATCATTTGTTTTAAAATAGTGGGTCTGACAAGAAACCAAGTTATCAAACAGTGGACACAGCACTAAAAATGGATATGCACCAGGGCCCCTGGTTGGTTCTCAGTGACTAGTGTAAAAGTCGGTGGTTCAAACTCACCCAGCTACCCTAGAGAAATGGTGATCTGCTTCCATGAGGATCATAGTGAGAAAGAAAATGTGATCGCCAACAACTCAGCTGTCGTTAGGTGCTGCCGGATGGATTTTCAGTTCACAGAGACCCCATGTGGCAGTACTTGTTGTTGCTGTTACGTGTCATCGGGTCACCTACAGCTCTTGGCGACCCTATGAACAATGGCTCTGAACCGTGCCCTGTCCTGAGCCAACCTCACTGACTAACACACCTCCCCTCAATGCCACATCACTGTGTCAATCCATCTCATCCAAGGTCTTCCTTTCCTGTATTGACCCGAGCTACCTTTCCAAGTGTGATGCTGTCCTTCTTCAAGGCCTGGTCCCTCCTGGCAACATGGCCAAAATATGTGAGACACAGTTTGAAAATTCTTGCCTCCACAGAGAAATCTGGTTTCACCCTCTCCATGACAAGCTTGTAGGTTTTTGTTTTGGGTTTTGGGGGTTTTTTTACTCACATTTTGGGAGTTTATTAAGGAAATGGGGGGGAGGGGGGGAGGCAAAGGACATCATACAGTGAAAGTCCAAGTTTTAGTGAACATCCTAAAACCAAGTTATCAGCGAAACACAATTCCTAAATTAGTTCAGACAGCTTCTCAGTCAACAAATGAAGAGTCCAGGTTCAGTCCAGCAAGAAGCCTCTGCTTTTCTCAGTTGTCCATCAGGCTTTGTCGTATAGCAGTCACTTGTCAGCTCTTCCCTTAGTTATTCAGCAAGCAAAACCTTTCACTCTAGCTCCATCTCCAGGGCTCTTTCAGGCTGTGCTTTGCCACGATCTGCAGACTTGTTTATTCTCTTGGCGGTCCAGGGTATGCTCAAGACTCTTCTCCAGCACCACAGCTCAAAAGCATCCATTCTTCTCTCATCTTTCGTCATTGTCTAGCTCTCAAATGCATAGCAAGCAACTGAGAAGACCATGGCCTTGATCGGGTGCACCTTAGTCTCTAGACTGACACTGTTGCTCTTTAGCACTCTGGAGAAATCACTGGCAGCTGACTTTCTCTGAGCAACTAGTCTTCTGATTTCCTGACTGCTGGTGCCAAGGGTGTTGATTGTGGATCCAAGCAAGATGAAATTGTTAACAGCTTCAATCTTTTCTCTATCCATCATGATGCTGCAATTGGCCCAGGGGTGATGATCTTAGATGTTGGTGTAATATTATCCTAATGATGGGCAAATGGAAGAGACTTCACCTGTGATCATGTGTAGGTTTAGGAGATGATGGTTCAGCGTATTTGTATGAGCTACAGATAAACCCATGTAGATAGCAGGGACAACAGGATCCAGTGTTACCTAAACATCTGCATCATAGTCAAACACTCTGAGGTCCTGGGGTCTCAGGACCATAATCTTGGGAGAAATCAAGGGCTTAAAAAAAAAAAAAGTCAAGTGTTTAATACTTTTAATGGCATTCCTGTTCTGTGCTATATACCATTAGAAAGGCTTACTGACTCATTTTCTAAAATCAACCATTGACTATCCCGTGGCACATGTCACACAGACTCAACTAAATGGCAACTGAGTGTCAGTTCTCCTTCCCACATTCTAGTATGATTGTGCCCATTTTACAGATGAAGAAACTGAGGTCCCGAGAGGTGAAGTGCCCTTATCCGAAGTCAGGATTCAAACCCAGATCTGCCTAACTGTATATATACAGTTCCTGTAGTTATTTTGATCTGTTCCTCCCAACTCCTCAGCTGATGACAATAATACTAACAAAATAATAGCATCCTTTATCTGCGGGAGAAGGATGGGCAGTCTCTTCCTGTGTAATTTACTGCTTCTGAAAACCCACTGGAGGGTCAGCTATGGGTCAGTTCCAACTCGCTGGTACACAACAACATCCTTTAATTAGTTTCGTTCCCTCACTTTCTCTGGGGAATGCCGGTAGCATAATGGGTAAGGAGTTGCACTGCCAATCCAGAGACGCGATTCAAAGCCACCAGCTGCTCCGTGGGAGAGAGACAGGCAATCTCCTCCCGTGCAACTTCCAGCCTCTAAAAACCCAGTGGAGGGTCAACTGTGAGTTGATTCTGACGTGATCACTTTCTCTGAACATCACTTTCTCCTGTGAGGAGTCCAGGGTTAAGGTTTAACCCCATTCTATGGAAGAAGAAGCAGGTTCAGTGAGGATTCAGTAACTTGTCCAGGAAGGAAATGTTTTAAGGTCAGAATCTGAACTCAGGAGTGAGACTCCAAATGCAAGTGGCATCAGCCACACTCTTCATGTCAGTGACTCAAGCAAGACCTTTCTGTTCCCCCCTTCTGTCCCCTTTTGTCCCCCTGGCTTCCAGAATGCTGGTCTACAGTGGGCAGACCAACAGGTCAGCTCTGCTCTACGACTCCCAGCAAACTGAGAGCGTCCCCTTTGAGGGCCTTCTGAGCGACAGTAACGCCATCCGCATTGAGTTCACGTCGGACCAGGTCCAGGTGGCCTCAACCTTCAACATCCGCTTCGAGGGTGAGGGTCCCTGGGGGCCTCGCTGCCCAGAGTGGTGGAGAGGGGGTGGATACGGGCTGATGGTGGGGCTGGGCGGAGCCTGGGTGCCGAACACCTTCATTAATCAGACTTGATAATGAGAGACACGTGGCTTTGTAGTAACTCACTGCCTTATACCTTCACACACACCTCACCAAGACTGGTAAGATGAGAACTTCTAAATGAAGGAGCTGAACTCTGGAGAGCTTGAGTGACTTACCTGAGGCTGCCAGATAATAAGAAGGGAACCCTGAGGTCCAGCCCAAGTGCTTTCTAAGCTTGGCTTTACCCAGGGCGGCCTCCTCGAGTTCTCTCAAGAAGAGTGGGCAGGGTTTCTCCCACTCAGCCCCTGACCCTTGAGAAAAGGTGCTCCTGGGATTTAAGTGGGGCTTTGGGGACTTCCTGTTCTGGCTTCTCCAAGAAAAGTCACCCTTTCTCGTCGTTGATTATGGTATCAAATGGCAGAAACCATGACTCTGAGGGCCTGGGCCTGGGGAAAGCGTGTTTGATGTGGAGAAGGATTGAGACACGGTTTCTGCAGGAATAAGGAAAGGGTTCTTATTCCTATATTGGAGATGAGAAACATGAGGCCCAGAAAGATCGACTAACTGACCCAAGGACCCTCCTCAGACCTAGAACACCTGTCTCGTATTCTCGTATTGTCTTCCCTAAACAGTCAGGAAGGGACTCTGGTGGCCTAGTGGGTAAGGAGCTGTGCTGCCAGCCCAGAGGCAGCCGGTTTGAATCCCCCAGCTGCTTCACAGGTGAAAGCTGGGCAGTCTCCTCCCGTGCAATTTACAGCCTCTGAAAACCCACTGGAGGCTCAGCTAGGATGAGTTGGTTCCAGCCCGACAGCACACAACGACAGGAACACACAACCATCGGGGACACACAGCTGCTGCTGTGGGGTGCACCCTGCTGGCGCGTGACCTGCTGCCTCTTTGATCCCCCCACCCCTCCAGCTTTTGAGAAAGGCCACTGCTACGAGCCCTACATTCAGAACGGGAACTTCACCACATCCGACCCGACCTACAACATCGGCACAGTCGTGGAGTTCACCTGCGACCCCGGCCACTCTCTGGAGCAGGGCCCGGCCATCATTGAGTGCATCAACGTCCGAGACCCTTACTGGAACGACACGGAGCCGCTGTGCCGAGGTGAGCAGTCCCCAGAGACTCCCACCCCTCAGAAGAAGCTCACCACGAGGCTCTCTCTGGCTTGGTGGCATGTCACCAGCCTCTGTGACTGATTTCAGGGTTAGAATCCTCTCCGTTTCACATTGGTCTTCATCCTGCAGTCATACGCCCCAGAGTTTGCAGCTTGGAGAGCAGATCACTGTGCATTTTAGCTTCTGGTTTCCCCTCTGCTGTCTATCCTTGTGCAGCACACAACCTTTCTGACAGCACATGGCGGATCTGTTAGTCTAATTGGTAATAATAATGATAATAGTTGTTACTGAATGTGCAATAATTATGTTTTGGGCCTTTTGGCATACACATTAGCTGATTTCATTCCCGGCACAACCCTATGAGGTTTATGGTATTATTATTATTATTATTATTATTATTATTATTATTATTATTATTATTATTAATCCCATTTTAAAATGAGAAAACTGAGGCCACGAAGTGATGTGCCCAAAAAGCAAAGTGTGGTGCAGGAGCTGCAGCTGTCCATGTGCCGTTACCCATTTGAAAACACAAGCACATTGAGGAAGCATTTTGAAACTAATTGGTGATTTATCATGGCAAATTTATGATTGTTAACTCTAACAAAAATAATTTGGCTGTTTTGTGTACTTTTGTTAATTTCTTTGGTAATTTATTCATATGATATTATTAAAAGCGTGATGCCAAGTGACCGATTGGGGGGGGGGGGAAGCAAAGTGCTGGCAGTTGCCAGAGATGGGAATGGAACCCAGGTCTTTGTGTTCTCAGTGTCCGAGCCATCTGGGCAATGCCAGTGGTGCAGAGCCCTCATTTACAGGCCCCATGTCCTTGTTCTCCCCTTCCCTTCACTCGCCATGAACTGGGGGCCCCCAGTGGTGAGAGCCAGCAGGGTACCGAAGGGGAGCCCTCACACCTGGCAACCACCGCCTGGATAGAGTCTGCGTGAAATCCAAGCCTCTTCGTGGTGAAAGATTGATCCCTCTATTAAATGTGCTGGTGTAACAGAGCGGAATTTATTGGTGATTTGGCCTCTGCCATGTTGAGAATTTTCCAAAGCCGTAAACACAGTAGATTTCACGGGGCCAGGTGCCAGCTGCAGCCACCTTGTCTGCTTCCAGTTCGAGCTCAGGTCCTTCACAGCAAGGTTAACTAAAATCATGAGCGCTTACCAGGTGCCAGCGACTGCACTTGGCCAGTTTCACATCCGTGGGCTCTGTTGAGCCTCAGAGGAAGCCAAATTCCATCAGTGGTCATTTTATTCCCACTTGATAGAGGAAATCAGCAATCCTGTGGCACAGCGGTTAAGCAAACAGCTGTAACCAAAAGGTGTGTGGTTTGAATCTACCTGTGGCTTCATGGGGGAAAGAGTTGTTTCCCTATCACTCTGCGGTCACCTTATGTTGCATTTCTGACCAGCAGGAAAGTGCCGGGAGATGAAATGAATTACTTAAGACTTTATTTAGTCCAGAGGTAAGGGGATTAGTTGACTTTCCTCTCCACCTGCAGTCCACATAGCTTTTATTTGAGAGGTTTTTTTTTTATTTGAGAAGTTTTACAAGAAGAAAAGCATGTTGACTAGAGTCTCAAGATAAATGTTGTTTACTGTTTCTTATTTACCACTCTTCTTGTTTACAAGGCCGCATCCATATCCGAAGGTCAGCTGGAGAACCCAGATTTTGCATAGAAACAGCCATAAAACAGTATCCTTTTCCCTACTGTTGTTTAGATTACAGTCTAGGCACCTCCTGCCTTGGTCAGCGTAAGCCCTACAGGGAAGGTGTGGCCATCTGCTCCCATAAATACTTACTGCTTTGGAAACCAAGTAAAGCAGTTCCCTATCCTATAGAAGGGGACTATGAGTTAGAATCAGTTTGAGGACTTGTCCTATCACAGACTCTGTGTCAGAGGCAAAATTTGAACCCAAGTCCATCTAACTTGACACCACCATATCTGTTTTCGTTTATCCAGTGCAGCTTCAACAGACATGCCACAAGTGGGCAGGTTTAAGGGGAGCTCTGGTCTAGTGGCAAGGAGCTGCAACTACAATCCCAGAGGCTCACGGTTTGAATCCACCAGATACTCTGCCGGGAAAGGAGGGACAATCTCCTCCTGTACCAGTCAGATCTGATTTGATGGTACACTTACACAAAAATAATAAAAATTTTTAAAAAGTGGGCAGGTTTATCAAGGAGAAATTTATTTATTCATAGTTTAAGAGACTAGAAGTCCAAATTCAGGGTGCCAACTGTGGGGGACGGCTCTCCCTCTCTGTCTTCTCTGGAGGAAGATCCTTGTCTCATCAGCTTCTGCTTTCTAGTTAGTTGGAGAACTGACGCTCTTTTTTTTTTATCTTATGCCATCTCTGCTCTCTTCTCACTAGTTCTAACTTTTATATCTCAAAAAAGATTGACCCAGGGGAGCTCTGGTGGCCTAGTGGCAAGAAACTGCACTGCAATCTCAGAGGCTCGTGGTTCAAATCCACCAGATGCTATGCTGGAGAAGGAGGGGCAGTCTCCTCCCGAACCAGTCAGATCTGATTTGATGGCACACACACAAAACATAATAAAATAGAATTTAAAAATTAAAAAAAAAAAGGATTGACCCACCAAATGCACCCTGTGCAAATGTTGCCTCGTTAGCATAACCTTGTCAGTGAGATCATGACCTCAGGAACAGAGGTTTGGATTTACAGCACATAGTTTGGGGAGATACAGTTAAAATTGCTAACAATCTCGTCACCTCGATTCACCTCTGTCCTTGGTCCTGAAGGAGCTGCCGCCTTGAAGTCTGTCTTTGGTGCTGAAAACAGATTTGCTCAAGCTTTATTCTTGGTCTTGGAAGAACTGCTACTCAGAGACCCGATTTTGACACTCTCGGATAAAGGAGAGGGCAGGTGGCCAGCATTCAGTGAATCATTTGACACACGTGGGCTGACTGCCTGAGGTGACGGCACCTGTACACTCTGTGCAGATGTCTGACTTCACAGTGCGCGCGCACGCACACACACAAACACACGCCCCTAACCTCTATTACTCTTGGGTATTCAGACTGACCTCCTTATGAATAAACTCCGTCTGTGTCTCCTGCAGCCATGTGCGGTGGGGAACTCTCTGCAGTGGCTGGAGTCGTGCTATCTCCAAACTGGCCGGAGCCCTATGTGGAAGGTGAAGACTGTGTCTGGAAGATCCATGTGGGGGAGGAGAAACGGATCTTCTTGGATATCCAACTGTGAGTGTTTTCCGAGAAGTGGGCCCCGTGCGCCTGAAAAATCTGACTATCCAGCCAGATTAGGAGGGAAATCACTTCTCCTTTATTCTTGAAGCCGATTTAATTAGGTGCAGACTGTGTGGCAGGGACTGTGGAAAAAATTGAGGGCAGAGTGATGAAGAAAAAATACACATGCGGCGCTGGAAATTCAGCCTAATAACACAGCAGATGTTCAGTGAGGAAATTCACAAATAATTTCTAAGCAGTGCGAGGAGAGAAACATAGCATATAACGTTCTCCATTAGGGACTTGACTTTTTAAAAGTCAGAAAAGGCTTCCCTGAGACTGATGTGAAATCTGAGAGTTGAAATGAAGGAGTACGCACACACAATTAAAATTTTTTTTAAATGGTGTTGTTTTTTTAAAAATACAACAAAATGTTTAATGAGCAAATTCATCTTAGCAAATATGAAACTGCCACAGAGGGAGGGGGGGATGGGCCACAAGGTTTTAAAACAAGCGAGCAAGTTCATCGTTGTCCAAAGAGTCAATGACGAGTGAGGCCAGGAGGTGGAGGGAACTGTTACCTAATGTTCACTCCCCCTGTAGATTCAGCACTGTTAGGGTGGTAGTTCGGGTGGCCCGGCGGTAAGGAGTTGCAGTGCCAACCCAAAGGCACACGGTTCAAATCCACCCACTGCGTCACAGGGGAAAGATGGACAGTCTTCCTCCCTCCCAATGTGCTTCCTCTGAAAACACATTAGAGGATCAGCCGTGAGTTGGTTCTGACTCAGCAGTACATAACAATAATGATAGATAGATAGATAGATAGATAGATAGATAGATAGATAGATAGATAGATAGATGATAGATAGACATAACAATAACTATAGTTAGATAGATAGATAGATAATAGATAGATAGACAGGAAGAGGAGTGTGCCGTAACGGGACTCGTTATTAGCGTGAACAGCAGTCACTACTGGGGTGGGCAGGAGAGGAAGAGGCTACATCCAGTACTCCCTCCTGGGGTGGGCAGGATAGAGGAGATTCCATACAGTACTCCACACAAGTCTGGTTTCTTCCCCTGCCTGTCTCCTTTAACTAGCCCTGGCTTCCAAGTCTAATACTGAGCCTGACACTTAGCTCCTTCAGGTCCTTGGGAAATTTCCCGGGTCCTTGGAAAATAATTGCTAAAGAGAACATTAGTGAATGGGCTTGCCTGGCTTGTGTGCCTGTGTTTCCTGTACTCGGTGTGGGTCACTATCAGAGACTGTATTCAGAACTGACCTTTCTCACTGCTCAGGAGGGTGGCACTTCTCAGGGAGCTGGTCCAGATACAGTAGCAGTTTCTATAAGCCTTGTGGCTCGGATAATTTGCACGAAGAACCTTCCTTAGAAGCAAGTTATCTTCGTTGTCCAGATGACAGTGCTGAGACACCAGACAGCTGCTTGTCAGTGGTCTGTGTGAGGATTTACTGGAAGTTTAGCTCAGCTGGAGCACAGTGTAAGGGAGAGGTTACTGAAGAAAAGACCAGACAATAACTTGAGCATGCTTTTAGTCAAAGCTTCAAATAGAAAACTTGATTCTGAAGCCACTTCCTCCAGGAAGCCTTCCGTATCTCCCCATCCTCCTCAGATCAGTAGCTTCAAGTTGAACCTGATGCTTGGTGACCCTGTGTGTTGTAGAATAGAACTGTGTCCCGTGAGATTTTCAAGGCTGTAGCCTTTCAGGAACAGGTTTCCCAACCTTTCTTCCTTAGCGCCTCTAGGTGAGTTTGAACCTCCAAACTTTTGCTTAACTTTTTATCACGATCACGATGCACATGGCGTATGATCTTTGCGTATGAGCAGCCTCCAGAGATTACTCGGGAACACAGTTCGTTCTTTAGGTGAAACAGATTCCTGATTTCTTGACTCCACTTGCAAAAGATCAATCCCATGCAACCCTGGGGCAAGAGGACTCGTTCACAGCCTTCTCCTTTCCCCTTGATGGGAACCTCCCAGACAGGTGACTCTGCTCAGACAAGATTAGCCCGCATCTTCCATTGGTGCCAGGGACCTGGATGATGAAACGGAAAAGTGGGAACCCTGCTTGCCTCCCCTGTAGGCATCAAATATTCAATTAACCTTCAGCTTGACACTAAATTGAATTTTATTTCCATCGCTAAGCACGCAATGGGGCAGCCAAACTGAGTGTCTCACGCAGTTAAAGCAGAAAGACTTTCCTAAAGCCAGGCCACTGGGCTTTGCATCAGGAAGAGGGCCATTGAGGAATTAAACCTTTGCCTGTTCATCCCTGCAGTTCCAGGCATGAGCGTCAGCTGGGGGAAAAAGACCCTGGTTCCTTTCCACCATATCCCTGGCTCACTCAGGGGCCGTCATCCAACCTTTCTGTGCTTTACACTCCTTTTCTACTCTCCCAAGAGGGAGAACAAGATGAAGGAGGAGTCAGGAATTGATGAAGGAAAGGGGATACATGTCCAGTTGCCTCCACAAACAAACTAAATGTTTTGCCATGAAGCAAAAGAATCAGATAGTGCCCGGCTATCAGTGCTGAGCATTTAAATCAAGGGTGCTATTGAACTCTGATCAAAAGGGGGGAGCAATTTGAGGAACAGAATTTTACATTTTTATAGAAGCTGGACTTCCAGGAGCTACTGAGGTCTGATGGTTCCCTGAAAGTAGTACCCTAAGGAAATCTTCAAACCTTGAACTGAAACGATCCCCTGATGTCATCTTTGAACCAAACATAACAAATAGCCTAATTTTTAAAAGTGTCTGCATTAAATACAGTCTAGTGGATAAGGAGTTGTGCTGTCAACCCAAAGTTAGGCTGTTCAAATCCACCAGTTCTTCAGGGAAAAGATTTATTCCCATGCAATTTGCAGCTTCCAGAAACCTGTTGGAGGGTCCCCTATGAGTCCTTTCTGACTTGAAGGCAATGACTTTGAGTTTTTTAGTTTGGAGATTTATCTCCATGTGACGTGAGATCAAACTGACAAAAGTAACTCAAGAGGATGGGTGAGAAATTTAAGGGGCCAGTGTCAATGATGGTAAAATAATTTGGAGAAGGTTCTTAAGAAGGTCAGCCTAATTTGAAGACTGTTACCAACATCACTGAGAAATTGTTAAGATGGTATAGATCTTGTTGTGCATAGTTTCTTATACAAGTACAAATGATGAGTTGCCATCAAACTAAGATACAGACTCAAACTTGAACCTCAGGGCCTTTGCACAGCTTTTCATCACCTCCTGGGATGCTCTACTCTCAAATACCCACATAGCTTATCAGCTTGTATCCTTCTTTTAAGGACTTTTCCATCACTTCCTATGGTTCTGTGAGCTGGACAGTGAATAAGGATGCCAGGAGAAGAATTAATATCTTTTGAACTGTGAGAGAAGAAAAATTGATACCTTTGAACTGTGGTGTTGGAGATTTCTGAACATCTCATGGACTGCCAAAAGGACAAAGAAATTGTATCTTGAAGAGGGTGCAGCCAGAGGGCTCCTTAGAGACAGACAATAAAGCTTTGCCTCATATACTTTGGACATGTTGCTAGGAGAGACCGTTTCTTGGAGAGGGACATCATGCTTGAAAAAGTGGAAGGTTAGGGAACTCTAATAACCTAGTGGTAAGAAGCTGCACTGCAATCCCAAAGGTACACAGTTTGAGTCCACCAGATGCTCTGCTGGAGAAGGAGGGGCAATCTCCTCCTATACCAGTCAGATCTGATTTGATGGTACACATACAAAAAATAATTTTAAAAAGACAATAAAAAATCTTTAAAAAAAAAGTGGAAGCTTGCTGAAAGAGAGGAAGACCCTCAACCAGATGGAGTGACATCGTAACTTCAGCAATAGGCTCAAGCAGGTCAGAGACATTGAGGATGGTGCAAGATGGGACCAGCTTCATACCTGTAGTTCATAGGGTCACTATGAGTCATACTCAACACACCTAACAACAACACACCCTTGAGGTCTCTTAGCTTCCCTGTCTCCCCTCTCTCACCTTTAATTTCTCCCTTGCATTTGCCACTGACTTGCTACCTGTAATTGTATTGGTTGAAGGATACCGTGAATGTCACCTTCATGACAATAGAGAGATTGCCATTACTTTCCATTTGATTCACTACTCTCTTCCCTGCGTGTGGGAACTCTGGTGGCCTAGTGACCAGAAGCTGCGCTGCAATCCCAAAGACCCATGGTTCAAATCCGCTAGCTGCTCTGCAGGAGGAGGATGGGCAGTCTCCTTCTGTGTGATTAACCACCTCTGAAAACCCACCAGAGGGTCAGCTGTGGGGCGGTTCCGTACACAACAACAACAACAACAAGACTCCCTGCATGCAGAGTACCCAGATCAACAAGGACAGTCCACCAACAGTGTTCATGAATATAATAAGTGAAATCAAGACAGCTCGTCAAGAAGCTTCAAAACTGGAATCTCAAAACAAAATCCACATTCAGCTGGCGCAGTGCACAAGGAAGAAGAGGGATCAGAAAACACTGCGATGATTCTCCAGTGCCGTCACCTCCCTTTGTCCGTAACATGCCAAGCAAATGGAACTAGTGAAAAACAATGATTTGACCAGCAAGTGTCGGTATTTAACAGATTTGTCCTAGAGAGGGTGAGACCAGGCTGCTCCTTGGAGGAAAAGATTCTGAAGCTTTGTCTGACCTACTTTGGACATGTTGTAAGGAGGGACCAGTCCTTGAAGAGAGATGTCATGCCTGGAAGGGTGGAGGGACAGAGCAGGAGAGGAAGACCCTCGATGAGATGGACTGACTCAGTGACTGGGGTAATGGGAATGGGTAATCCATGTGTCAGAGACAACAAGATTGGCACAGGATAGAGCAAAGTTTAGGGCTGTTGTACATAGGGTCGCTTGACTCAACGGCACATAATAACAAGAACAGAAAGGGTCAAGTAAAGAAACAGGCCACCACATGTCACACTCCGATGGTTTGTGGGTTGCTGTGATGCTGGAGTCTTTGCCATCAATATTTTAAATACCTGTGGCG